AAAAAAAAAAAAAAAACACACACACAAAAAGGCGCTTATAAATCAGTACGAGCATAGATGACGCAAAACTATTTTATTTGCCCCAACGAAATACCACAGTGGTTGTGGATTTTTTTTTCTCAAATACTTCGCTTAAACAATGACCATCGTCAGCCACCATGCATGCATTCAATGTACTTCGCAGAGTTTTCTGATGCCTGCAACCAGCACTTAAAAAGTTAGTATCCTTTTTCGGCTAGTTTCTTGTTAGAATTTCATCGTTAGCGGTTTTTAGCAACACCCCCTCCACTCACAAGGCTGTTGTTGGAAAGTAGGTGTTAGCTGAAAGGAATAATAGGAAGGAGAGCGAAATGAAATGCGTTTGTCGAAAAGCAAACTTTCAGCCGACAGCAACTGATTGCCTGCGGTTGATTTTGTGTGCATTGCGGTTTGGCGATTGCATTGATGGCGATATCCGCCAACAAATTCGTGGTCAATACAAACGGGTAAGAACACATGTACATACATATATATATATATACATATGTATGCACATGCTACTTCCATAGGTATGTATGTCGATCAAACCACTTTAGAAGTAGTGAAGGATTTTCATTGTTGAGGCTGCTCATGACAATTTGTTGCGAAAAAGTTTCGCAGTTTTAGAGTTTTCCTTTTTCCTATTTTTTTTTTTTTAATTTGAGTTGTGTATTTGATTGCGGTCTTTTTTCTCTTGAGTAGTAGGCGCAAAGTGGTGTAAATAAGTTTAGTTCGGTGGAAAAATATTTAGGTCAATCTTTGGGCAACGATTAATATAAATATCGATAACAAAGTCGATTATTATACAGAACCCGCCATCGTAGAAATGTACATCGATAGATTCACTAATGGAAAATTTTAACAAAATATCGACCCCTGAATATAACGATAAATAAATTAATAACGTTTTAAACAGCTATATCGAGATATAAATCGAAAGGAACATTGATTAATATATGCAAATATCTATAGAAAGTCCATAAATTGGTATATCTATTACGTTATCTTAGAAATGTACAAATTTATCGAAGAACCTATTATTGCTCAAATTTTTTGAAATATCGATCAGTAAAATTATCCATGAATGACGATTTAAACTGCCATATCGAAAAAATATATCGAAAATAATTTTGAGTATCCGAAACAATATCGGTTAGTAAAAAAATCGATTACAGAATCGATATACTAATCGAAAGCTTGACCTAAAAGAATGTATTACGAAAATGATATCGACAAATAATGCGAAAAGTAACTGAAAATATTAATAAAGACATATAGAAATCTAACAATTAATACATATCGCCAAACGAAAAGCAAAAAGCCATAACTAACGTCACTGAAATACACAAAAGTTGAGTCAAATAATTTCTTTTTTTGCATAAACGCTGTGGGTAGGGATTTTTAATTCGATAAAATGCATCATACCAATCAAAAAGTGAATTTCGATTTTTTTTTTATTAGTTATGACTTTTTGCGTTTCAGGTAACGATTTGTATGTATGACAAATAGGGATAACAAGTACAAACAAAAAACTAATTTAACGATAATATTATGGTGAAACGGCAAAAAATCAAAGCTCAATAAAACGAAAAATAAAAAAAATGGATAACAAACAACAAGTAATTTTTAAGCAAAAAATATTACCGACTTCAATGCTAATATAAAAATTTAGGGCTACCGTTAATTTCTTCTGATTCAATTATCGGAACTAAACCATATTAGTATGGGAACACCCTTGAGGTATCGATAAATAATCGAAAATGGTTCACGTGGTCCAAAGTTATCCGGAAACATACATCATACATTTCATTTCATTTTTTTTTAAGTCGGTTGAAAAGCGAGAAAAACATATATGAAAAGCATTTTCCACACATATTGTCAAAAATATTGCCAAAACAATATCGATTAAGGTATTTATGATGATTTATAGAAAACTACCGATTCCGATTAAAGTAATTTATCGATAGATAAAAGTATATCCGTATATAAAATATATAAAAAGAGCGCAAGACATAGCCGAAAGAGGGGGCTATCGGTCTTATTCCAAAAAAACGCGACTTCAAGGTAGAAAAAAAAAATTCATAAAAAATCAATAAATATGTATATTAATAAACTTATGGATTAAAAATTATCTCTACAGCTAAGTATATCGTGAAATATTAAGAAAAACCAAATCGATAAAATATATTAGTGCGCTATATAAAAACTTATCGATTCATATGTATATCTATAAGTGAAATTAATCGACAAAAATATAACGAAATAGCAGATTCAATGAAAGAAAGGCACAAAAAATCAGTAGCAAAATCGATAAATGTGTCGAAAACGCCAGGTATAAGAATGCATTAAGACAACGATATCGATAAATATTGCCAAAACCAAATCGATAAAAATATTAATGAAAACATGTAGATATTTATCGACTCGTACCTACATCGTAAATAATCGTATAATATAATGTATAATTTATTGATAAAAGTATGATGAAATTAGGGGAAAAATATGCTATGTAGGTAGATAGATAGTTAGTTATAGCACTACGATCGGTAGGTCTATTTTGCCCTTAGCTCATCACAACACCTCGACTAGCCCTAGAGACTATATAAATTTCATAATAGATTCCGGCGATAGAGAGTGTATGTGCTCCTCTCTTGACCCAATCCTCCTACGTGCAACGGCCTCACACTCCATAAGAAAGTGTAAAGGAGTGTCCTTGGCAGCGGCGCAAAAGCGACACAGGTCAATGGACCAGATTACTAATTTAGACAGGTGGCCCTCTTAGCCTGCAACGGTTCGACAAAAAAAATCTGCAATGATTCTTAGTTTCTCCTTGGGAAGATCCATGTGTAAGCTGTATTGTACGCTCCTAATTCACTCTTTGCCTGACGTAGACCCATGTTGTTGCGACAGTTCAGTTCCCTCAGTTTGTTATTTTCCTTTCTGAGTATTTCTTTTATGTTGTTGGGCCCCACTGCAAGGAAGCGTTCAGGCGCGCTCGGGAACGAAGCTGCGTCCGCTCTGGCCAAATGCTCAGCTTCCTCATTTCATATAAGTTGAATACCAACAACCGCAGCCAGAGTATTTAGCCTCTCTACACTCTCCAAAACCAAAGAGGACTTGATCTCGAACGATAAG